CATGATATAAATCTTGAAACACAGTAAACATTTAGTTAATGTACTGTGATAAAACAGGACACATCCAGAAGTTGTTCTACACAAGTGCACTGTGTCTTATCAGTAGTGAAGGGTTGAGGGGAATGTGGGTTGTGTTATCTTTCATGCAGCAAAATTCAGCAATTCGTAACAATCTGGGCATGAAGTTTCTATCAGCAAAACAAAATTACCTGTGACAAACAATGGTTTTCAAACTATCTCAGACAAATAATGGTTTCAAATTATTTGCCCAAAACAGCAGATTTCAAACTGCTCTCATATTTCAGACAGTCTTTTTCTTCAGTGATCTCTGGTCATGCGCATATTCCACTGTGGGCCTTAAAGTGGGATGTCTTTTCAAGGTCTCTTAGGTTTCCCCAAAGCTTAGCTGTCAGTTCTACTGGGTGTTGCCATATGTTGCTCTGCAGCGCCGCCACAGAAGATAGTTTTGCAGGACATTTCAGACAGTGAAGATTATTATTTTTTTTTTTTAAATCCCATGTTAAAAAAAATACAAATACAGGTAATTCCACAGCAAGCTTAATTATCATCATCATGTGCGTATCACTGGGCATGGGCTTCACATGTTGAGGCCTCAAACAAAATTCATAAACTTAAACACTGACATTCCTCATGTGTGTTCTGGGGCCCCATTGCGAGGAAAGAAAACAAAAACAAACCCACTGCCTCCTTCACAAGCATTTCGATGCGTTTTCTTCAAAGTCAAACTGCATCCATCTGAGAGTCAAGGAACCAACCATCTGCACCCAAATAAATCACATTTGTAAAATGGATGTGCATGCAATACTCAAGTTTTGGAACAAAACTAACTCTAGAAGTGGAAAACCGACCAGAATTTTCTGATGGAAAGAGGAAAGCAAAGAGAAAGATACACTGATATGTTACAATACATATTGTTTTTCTCTCTTTCCCACACAAAAACATACAAACATGTATACACACTGTTGATCTGTCAACCAAAAATTAGTGTCATGGTCAATGAACCAAACCTCAGAAATCTGCAGCAGAATGTTGGTGCTCTACCTCAATCAACCACGCCAGAAGCAAACATCTCTTTGAACATTTTTTAGTAGTGTTATGAAATGTATTTGAATGCTGAAGATCTATGTTAAGAGTTATCAAGGAAGGCATTAATAAAAAAATAATGAAAAATAATTGGATACGATTTCAACTCTACTAGGTCTCACTCACTATGTTGGCTGATGAAAGTGCTCTAATTCTGCAGTCTTCTTGACAATCAAGTGTTACACTTAACTTTCACTTAAGCCCCGGGAATGCTAAAAAGGGCCAAGAACTCGTAGGAATTCTCGAAAAATCCTTTTAAAACATTTTTCAATCTTTGTGTGTGTGTGGGAAATATATATATCTTCTTCTTCTGCGTTCATCCGAAGATGTAATTGCGTTGTGTCCGTTTACAGCATGCCTGTGATATTTGCACCTTTCGGCCAACACATCCGACTTCTGTGGGCATTTGTTGACCGGGTTAGCCTTTCCGGATATAAAGATAAATAAAGTGAGTAACCAATAAACATGAACAGGGTGAAGCATCAAATGGAACACATTCCCCAAAGATTTAAAGCAATTTGTATTGAGTGATCTCATGCTGTGAGCCGGTAACCTCTATCACTGAGGCTATAGGAAAAATATGACATGAATGTGGCTTCACACAATTTTTGATTCATAAGAAAACCCCCAAAATGTTATTTTTAGTTGTAACAGTCGAGTCCACTTCAGTCTTACTTGGATAAGTCCAATTTCGCTTAAGTCGACACGACCAGCTTAGTCCCATTAATTTTCCTTATTTATCTTAGTACTTTAAATCCTGATAAGCCGAATTCGGTTAACTCAAATATTTGGATAAGCCCAATCTAAAAATAAACTCCGACTATATACACGTCCATGTTTAAGTTGAACTGTTCATTGTCACTATAACAGAAAAATTTATTTCATCAAAAAATGTTTATTAGTCAGCCCGGGAAATAACATGAAATCTTGCAGCTACGATATCTCGTTATTTGCTACATACAGTATTAACAATGGCAGCTGGTGGCCGAAACAGGTTACAGATGAGAGCCTAAGTCGAAAGTTGACTACTTTAACTTTAAAAAAAAAAAGACTGAACTGTTGGAAGAGACTGAACATAGTGGGAAGAAGAACACGGATATTGCTAAGGAATATAGTATTCCAAGTTTGATATTTTGAGACATTTCAAAGCATAAGGAACGCTACAGAATAATGTTTTTTGAGTGTAAAATCAACAGTGACAGACAGCGAGCTAGAACAGTGACAAACGGCGATCTAGAACAGTGACAAACGGTGATCTAGAACAGTGACAAACAGCGATCTAGAACAGTGACAGACAGCCAGCTAGAACAGTGACAGACAGCCAGCTAGAACAGCGACAGACAGCCAGCTAGAACAGTGACAGACAGCAAGCTAGAACAGTGACAGACAGCCAGCTAGAACAGTGACACAGCCAGCTAGAACATTTGACAGACAGCCAGCTAGAACAGTGACAAACAGCGATCTAGAACAGCGACATGCGATTTTCTTGATACTGCCCCTTTGAAATGGCTCAATGAGCTCAGATCAGCAAATGTAGCCATGAATGCGCCATTAATTATTGCAAAAGCAGAGGAATGTGCACATCTTGGAGGTCAGACAGACTGGAAATGTACTGGCTGGTTTGATCATTTCGAAAACCCCATTGCATAATATACAAGAGCATGTGGAGAGAGACAATCTGTTAATGAAGCAAGGACTTATTCATGGAGAGAAGATGTGCTTAAACCTGCTTTGGCTAAATATAATTATCTACCTGTATCACAGTCAGATGTTTTGGCACACATGAAGAAAATTAACATTTACAAGATTCAGACTGGGTGCTCAAATGATGTAATCTCCCAATTAGTTTCATTTACACATGCCATGGAAAGACATTTTTCACAGTCCAAAAAAGCAAAGCAAGATCACAGACTTTTTCTTTAATTAATGTCTGAATTTTCACATGGTTTCAATGTTATACCTTCGAAAATAATTAAATATTTCAACATTTCTGATATTCTTTTGCTATTTATCTGTTAAATTATGGTATTTCCTAACTGGTAGAATTGTTTTACTCAAAGCTACTGCTCAGTTTTAGTTTACATTCTCTATTGTCTGCGCTGTCTGGATAAGCAGAAGTCCTGATAAATGGAAGCATTTTCCTGCAACTTCTACTTATCCAGACTCGACCGTATATCCATATCTGAGGGGCCTAAATGCTGTGCCGGCACAAACAGAACCAATGTCATTAAATTTCAAACAGAACCAATGTCATTAAACTGCAAACAGAACCAATGTCATTAAACTGCAAACAGAACCAATGTCATTAAATTTCAAACAGAACCAATGTCATTAAACTGCAAACAGAACCAATGTCATTCAACTGCAAACAGAACCAATGTCATTCAACTGCAAACAGAACCAATGTCATTAAACTACAAACAGAACCAATGTCATTAAACTACAAACAGAACCAATGTCATTAAACTGCAAACAGAACCAATGTCATTAAACTGCAAACAGAACCAATGTCATTAAACTGCAAACAGAACCAATGTCATTAAACTGCAAACAGAACCAATGTCATTGAACTGCAAACAGAACCAGTGACATTAAACTACAAACAGAACCAATGACATTAAACTACAAACAGAACCAATGTCATTAACTGCAAACAGAACCAGTGACATTAAACTACAAACAGAATCAATGACATTAAACTACAAACAGAACCAATGTCATTAAACTGCAAACAGAACCAGTGACATTAAACTACAAACAGAACCAATGTCATTAAACTACAAACAGAACCAGTGACATTAAACTGCAAACAGAACCAGTGACATTAAACTACAAACAGAACCAATGACATTAAACTGCAAACAGAACCAGTGACATTAAACTGCAAACAGAACCAATGTCATTAAACTACAAACAGAACCAATGTCATTAAACTACAAACAGAACCAATGTCATTAAACTGCAAACAGAACCAGTGACATTAAACTGCAAACAGAACCAGTGACATTAAACTGCAAACAGAACCAGTGACATTAAACTACAAACAGAACCAGTGACATTAAACTGCAAACAGAACCAGTGACATTAAACTACAAACAGAACCAGTGACATTAAACTACAAACAGAACCAGTGACATTAAACTACAAACAGAACCAGTGACATTAAACTACAAACAGAACCAGTGACATTAAACTACAAACAGAACCAATGACATTAAACTGCAAACAGAACCAATGACATTAAACTACAAACAGAACCAGTGACATTATATTATGCTTCTCTGAATCACGTCCCTAATAGTGTTGCTATCTATGGGGATGTGACAATGACAGAAATACTGGGTTCGGAGCTTTTTGTGACAGGATTAGGAGAGTGTTTATTATATTTGGTCCAGGAATAAAAGTGGCTGGTTGGTCATTGTTGGAGGTGGCCTAGGGAATGAAACAACTAGAGACAACACAGATGCTGCTGTTCACCACTGTCATCAAATGTCTTGCTGACTGGCCTGGGCAATCATACCTCTCTACAACCTATCTCCAACAGCATTAATCAGCTCATGTGCTGACACCTCTCCATACCATGAACAAATGCTGTCAGAATCTTCTCACATGGTCTTCCTCTATCTCTCTCTCCACAAATCTTTCCAGTGATCACATGTTCTAGTTTTCCTCTTCAAATAACATAACCAAAAATTATGAGAAAGAAATGAGAAAAAAAAACCACTATTATTACAACTGTAAAATCAGGCCATCCGAATATGTTCTGTCACTCTTGCAGCTGACCTTTGTCCCTGTCACAAAGTCAAGCCAAAGTGACGTGAAACATCACACATAATTTCACGGATTACCTGCAAGGTTAAAGTATGGAACAAGGAGGTTTTCATTTCTGACAACTGCTAATTCTTTCTGGTCCGAACCAGCACTTGCCCATCAGGGGATCCAAAATAAGCAACATGGGTCATGTTCAGAAACAGTCCTGTCTCAATCACACCCGGAACATTCTGTAGAACCCTCTCCACAGCCATCCAGTCCTGCGCCCCTTCAAACTCCCAATCTATCAGAAAGTTACCATTGTCTGTGATGACCGGACCAGCTTTTTTGGAGGCCATTCGTAGCACAGCATTTCCCCCGAGGAGCTGGTTAATCTTCAGCTGCACTGGTTTGTATGCCATTGGAAGAACCTCAATTGGAACACCCTTTCTCCAGGTAGTGCCAAGGACCCTGGAGTTTTTCCTGGTATCTGCTATGACAAAGAACTTCTTGGAACAAGATGCGATGATCTTCTCCTGCATGAGGCAGCCTCCTCCTCCTTTGATTAAATTGATATCATCATCAACTTCATCAGCTCCGTCTATAGCAATGTCAATTTCTGGTGATGTTTCTAGATTACCTAAAGTTAGTCCATACTCGTGAATCAACTGTCTGGCTTGGAATGATGTTGGGATACAAACCAAGTTAAGTTCTTCTTTCTTGTTCCTCTCAGCAATTCTCTGAACAGCAAAAACAATTGTTGACCCGCTGCCTATCCCAACCACTTGCCCTTTCTTGATGTTTTCGTCAACGGCTCTCCGTGCAGCAGCAACCTTACCAGCTTCAACAGCATCGGCCATGTTTGAGAACTGTTGATGCAGATGACGGTAAAATAAATTGGAATGAGGAAGTGGTAAAACCTTCCTTAGCAGACTGTGATTCAATGATGATAATGATGAAAGAGATGGTGGAAGACAGGTGCGTCTGAAAATAAAAGAAATTTACATATACAGAATGACAAAATAAGCTCAATTAGATCTTCACTCATTTCAAATGAATATTATCAAGGCAGATCGTGTCTGTGATTTGGGTGTTGTGAACATGCGTCATAATGGCGGGGAATGGGTTCAATCCCAGCTGCAGGCAATTTGGCTGCAATCCACATTGTGTTGGCTTTGACAGTGGTACAGAGAGCTGACCACTCAGTACAAATGGCAAACTACTAAATGTAAATTAGCCTAGAAAAACCACAAAAACCAAACAATGCTTAGGTTGATTATGCAATGTTCTGTAAAGGACAACACTCAACTAACTTTAGGAAAAAACACAGTACACATCCCCCCCCCCCCCCCCACAAAAAAAAAATTTGTAGGCATAAAAGATAGCTTTATTAGATTATGTTATAATTCCCATTATAGAAGTATTATTGAATAGACAAATCAACTGTGCCTCATAAATTGTAATGACTGCAATGGTAAGGGGTGGAGTAGCTTGGGAGTTGCAATGTTCTCCTCTGACTTCTGCAGACCTAGATGTTTTAGTCTAGACTGCAGATTTCCTATAACATAGAAGGATGGCATACTCCCTTCTGTCTCTAATGGTAGTGGATAAGACATCTAGTCTCTTTAGATAAGTGAACCCAACTAAGAGCATCTGCTTGTATAATGTGAGTGTTAAAACTCTCAACAGTAGGCTAATTAGAAAAAAAAATCCATAAAAACACATTTAAAGAAAGGAAGTGTAATTACGGTATACACAAATTTCAATCCTAGTACAGAACAACTAAAACATTTACTAATACACTACAGATAGTCAATCATTAACTGATGGTCTGTAGAACAGATAGAAATAAATGGTACAAGACAACAGAAGCATTAATAATGCAGAGCTTTGGGAGAAAACTAAACACATTTTTAATGAAATGAATCAAGAGTGGAAGAAAAACCGCCAGCATTGAATAGGACACTGTACAAAAAATAATTCAAACAGTTTAGACAGAATAGTGTAATTAACTAAAATGACTTCAGTACTATTTGATTCATAGGCACATTATCTGGTGAAAGTGAAAGTGAAAGCGAAGTGTGGTTTTCCTCCTTTCCTTCCTTTACCTTATGAACAAAGTCTACAAAGATCGTGCCTCTAATGACTTAAATTACTAGATCTGAATGCACACAGAATTCACCCAGCCGTTCTGCAATTTCAGTCACTGTGCTAACCTACTCCATGGATAGATTTAATAAGAAATCATTTACATTGATTAGATAGAAATAGATGCCGGCGCCAAATAAAATATTATTACGTGCGCCATTTAAATTGTATTCACTTATTCAGTGAACTATCAATTAAACAAGATGTCAGTCGTAGCTATCAGATCCTTCTACGGTCGGCCATGGACAGACAGCTCCAGTTACCTAGATGATGACAGATAAAGGCGACAAGTCGGGACAGGCGGTAGAACAAACAAACAACTGACCCGATGAAGAGCGAGAATTGTGTCCAGACTGACCGAGTTGATGGCATGCCTGGTGTTGTCTTCTCGGGGGGTCAAGGGTCATCCAGCCAGGGGCAAGTAACTTTAGCCAGGGCTGCCCAAGTTGGTACTTTCGTCGGTACATTTGGCATTGGTTTGGTTTGAACACGGCCTTCTCTACTAGAGAAGGCGGTGGGTTTTAACAATAAATCAACATCACATACGTGCTTTTTTTTCTACTTCTAACACAAGCTTGGTCCGAAGAATCTCAGCGCAGTGTACGAACTCCGTAGCACCGGCGAGTACCCTGAAATACTTAGGGTAGATTTTTAGCTCTACATTTTGCGTGGGCAGCGTCGTTGGGCTACTGTTTTCGATTTCCAACTGCCGAAGGATTTTTTTTTTTTACGTGCGCAACCAGCCACACGCACGTCCGATCTTACTACCCAGAGACCAGAAGAAATTACTAGAAGTACACGGGGAAAATCCCAGCCTTCGCCGGGGTGTGAGCCCGGGAACTCCAACACTCGAAGCGGCCGCCATGCCTTCAAACCGCTTGACGACAAAAGTATAATTTCTGTCAAAATGTGTGCCTAATTTTTTGACATTACTCTATTCCTCTTTAGCTGCAGAAAGTTTTCTTACTGCTTAACACTATTTTGGAAGCAACATGCCCGCATCACTGCTAAAAATACAAGAATGGAGAGTAAAGATCGGCACAGCCAAGCATGAGAAGCAGACCGGACGCACAAGAAGTCTTGTTAACCAGCATAGGACTGGAACTATTAATTGCCCTTCCTCTCTGTATGCAGGCAGGCTGCTAAATAGACCCACGTTTCAATGGGTTGAGGCGAATTATTTCTGAATTTCATAGTTGTGATTGTCACTGACTCACAGAGTATGTTGAGAAAGGTGGAGACAGGTATGCTCCGTGCAGAGTGGCAAGCATCACTCCAGAGGTCCCGTGTAGTTAGTGTTCTTTGGATATTCTCTCCGGGTATGCCAGTGTGTTTGAAAATGAGCAGGCAAATAGACTGACAGTCATAGTTCGATAGACATGGATGATGAAGAGATTTGTTTTAAGGGTCCATGTCTAGTTCTCTATGTACAATACACCTGAAAGTGTTGAAAAGGGACCTTTGTGCGTTTTGGTACTATTGTTTCTACAGCGAGGTGCATTTATCATTTGGAGGTGAGAGGTTCGATTACAGGCACAGTAACTATAGCTTTGGATTTTATGTGTGTCTTTCTACTTTTCTACTTCTTTCTGTTAGTACCAAACAATGCATCGTCTTTGTTTAATACATAAATAATAAGCGAAGCGTAGACAAGAACAATCGAGAAGGACATGCATGTTCGTGTTAGTGTGACTTCCCCAGGCCAGGTGTGACTGTAATGTGCGGTCTTACAGTGGGACCCAGCTACCAACTCTAGTGCACATCCCAGCCAGTCGGTGTGTGCACTGCTGCATCAATACCTGTTAACACCGTAATATTAATAAACCAATCAGGCGCCGTCTCCACGGTGAAGGTTGGCTGCGACAAATCTCCATGCTCTGACTTTTGTCTTGGTAGTAAACTCTCTCCGACCTCTGTTTGTCCATTTCTTAATGTTGTCCTCCCACTTTTATGAATGTTTATCTCTTGCCCTCATCCTCTCTCACAAGTGTAGTTTTTAAAAGAATGTTATGTATTTTAATGTAGCCCAAATATTTGTCTCTTTTTTATTTCTTCATGTAACTCTCGTTTCATTCACTGTCTCTCCAGACCCTCTGAACTGATTCTTCGTTTCCATGAAAAACAATCTATTCTCTTGTATATCCACATTTCCACAGACGGAATTCTATTTTCTAGCTGCTTGTTCATTGTCCACGTTTCCTCACCAAACAGAAAGGTTGAGTATACACAACATCTGGCAATTCTTATTTTCAATGTGTTGTCTGTCTCTTCAGATGTCACAAATGTGTGCATCTTATTGAAGATAGTTTAGCACACCACTCTATGCATCAAGATGTAAAATTCCAGTACCTATCTATTAATGAAGGTTAGTTGCATATCCTTTACAGGACGTTGCAGAACCAACCCCAACAGCCCCTGGCTGTTGTGTGGCCTTTCTAGTGAAATCGTGTGTGTTTTGCTGAGTACACTTTGTATGGCTACGGCATTCACTTGAAGCATCCACCGTATCTGACTCTGTTTGTGACTGGAATCACTGGGATAGGCGGTGATGCTGCAAACCGTAACGACTAACTAACTAAGGGAACAAAGCATTAAACATAACTTGCCACTTTATATTGGATTTATAAGATATGAGGTCTTGGAGAACAGGAAATTCTAGAAATTGGTGAGACGCTGTGGGATCGCAGAGAAAATAATTACATTAAATATACGTAGTAAAGACGTATAATGCTGAGTCCTTAATGAGGGAGAACTAAGATATATATTGGAAATAGCAGAGGTGCGATAGGGATGTCTTTGGTCGCTTATTTTATTCTTATTGGTTTAGAAACATCCTCATGATAATATATATTTAAAAGCTAATGTGGGATGAATCCTACATGTAACAGGTAGAGACGGAAATGTAGTTCCCAAGTTCACAGGAAACCAGTGCTAAAAGATATCAAGAGGCAAAAGATCAAATGGTCTGTATTATGTGTCAAGATTACCACAAGACAGTGCACCACAGAGAATGCTCTCACTAAAAGACAACAGAAGCAGAGCTAGAAGTCATCCATGAAAGCAATAGGTAGAAGGAATGTCTCAGGCCATCAAATGCCAGCATTCACAAGGCTCCCACCAGCTGCCTCTTCAGAACCAACCTGCCACTGAAAACTAGAACAGAGATTAGAGAAGAGAAGAAGTGAGTGAGTTCACACCAAGGCCTATATAGTCAACTGTAGAATCATGTGTGCTGCAATTACATATGGTCGTAGGTTCAGATCTACCCAGTTGTCTATTCATCATGTAGCAGGTCCTTTGCAGAGCGTCGCTCTCATCACAGTCTGCCTGTAAGAAACTCGGTCTCTTGCCAGCTCTCCTGCCTCATGCACTTTCACACTCAAGGAGTCACTTTTATCCTGTGCCCATCTTTGTGTCAGTCAGCCCCTGCCCCTCCTTCCTGGTACCATGCCTTCTGCTATAATTTTGTCCAATCCGTCGTGGCGCTTGATATAACCAAAATTTTTCAGCTTTCGAGAAAGGATGCTGTTTATTAGCCAATCTTCCTTGATGTTCAGATCTTTTAAGATGTCAATATTTCTCATCTTCTTTGTCCAAGATATTCTGAGAATCTTTCTATAGCATTTCAGCTCAAAAGCCCCTATTCTTTTGCTCAAGGACTGATAGTCCACGACTCACATCCGTATGTAGCCACAGGGAAGATGCATGCTCT